CAAGCGGGATTCGAATTATGACAATGCAGCGTGTAAGCTCGACACATTAACTACTACCCCATATTGTCACGAATGCCCCTAAGTCACAGGGCAAATGTGAATTTCAAGGAATATCAGGCATTTTCCATATCACATTCTGTGTTAGGATTGTCGATGAAGCAAACTTATATTTGCTATAGCAATCGACGACATTACTTTTTTATCACCAACTATCCTTTGCTCCCTAATGTCTCCCGTATACATATTTTGATAAGCCTTTGTTCCGATTCTTATACCCAAATTTTTAAGCTTCTTATCATGTCCGTATCTAAACTGTTGAAAAATTATATAATACAACCTTTCTATCATTCTTTGCAATCTACATAAATCTTCAGAGCTAAGAGTATTCGCCAATGATTGACGTGATCTTGTTTTCCTCCTTATTAAGTAGTATACTTTTATCATGTTGTTTGAGTCCTAATATTAATTAAATCCTGGGATTCCGTTTGTAGGACTCGCTCAGTTCTATTAAGCATAGTTGGTCTATCAGCGATACAAAACCTAGGAACAACCAAACGAGAAAAATAAAATTTCAAAAAATGAATATGGTTGACTTGTAGGCCATTGCCTTCTTGGTCGGAAGCATTGGTATCCGTACGTGCTACGTAGATATGTCGTAATACTGGGTTTCGATTCTGGTTGACTCTCACATCACACTCATTTCAAGAGCACTACATTCACACAACACGCGTGCAATGGAACGCAATCACATGCGGTAACATTGCAGGATCAAAGGTATAAGTGTTTTAAGCGAGGATGCAGCTATTCGGTCACAATTGCATCCGTTGTACGCTTCATTTGCAGCCACTTAACTTTTGAGAAAAATTTTTAGGCAGATGATAGAATATCAAACCAGAACATAAGATGCCTAAGTCGACCAAATTGGACTATAAGAAGTAGGTAGTTTCGAAGCCGGCCACCTTTCTTGCCTTCGCGTTTTTCGTAAATTAGCAATAAGTATGGTGTACTTCTCTAGTGATGTCCGTCAAATGATGGATGAGAGCTCAGCAAGGATTCATCGTGTCTGCAGGGCGGAGCTCTGAGGACCTATTCGCACAAATTTACAATCACAACTCCAAGGCAATCCTCCTACAGCTTCCGGTGAGACTGAATCACTTCCACTCGCCTCTTCAAACGAAATGAAAGGCACTCCAACATCTTTCTGTTTTAATCGAAGGTATGATGGTGTGGCCTTTTGTGTGGTCGCAGTCTCTTTCGTTGTATACAAGTTATTTGACCTTGTTTTCGGTACTTGGTCATATTGGTAGGAAGACTTAGAGGAACGCACCTAGTCCGAAGTCCATTGCATGCATGATCATTTCCAGAATCGGATCGTTGACGTGGTACATTCCAGATGTTTTGCCGGCATCGTAGTCGGCATCGTAAGTGAGTCTTGCCATTCGTAGCACCATATTAGAACTCTTCAAATAGACAAGTGAAGCCCATCCTTTGACCAAACGTGTGCTAAATAGTTGTGGCAGAAGGGGAGATACCACAACTGTTTAGCACGTGTTTGGTCAAAGGATGGGCTTCACTTGTCTTTTTGACGAGTTGTGATATGGTGCTACGAATGGCGAGACTCACTGACGATGCCGGCGAAACGTCTGGGAATCTACTCCTTTTTTGGAAATGATGATACATACAATGGACTCAGGACTAGGTGCGTTCCTCTAAGTCTTCCTACCAATATCTTTCTGTTTTGTCCGTTAGTAATCTATAATGTGTAATTCCAAGTAGCTGGGCAGCCTTGCTAACAACTTGCTGGGCTTTTAAT